TTAACAGTAATAAATAGATTGTATAAATTTAATAAAATAAAATTAATAATATAAATGAGATATTATTCAATTTATATTTTACTTTATTTTTATTATTATATATTATATAAAATTATTTTCATGTTATTATTTTGTTAAGGATTAAAATACGCATGAAATAAGTGTGTTTGTCGATTAATGGTAACTGGATGGAAGCATCATTGGTTAAATAATCATAATTTAAGAATTGAATAAAAAAATTAAAATTCATTATATCAATTTACAAAAACGTCAAAGTTTAATGTGATTATGTATTGTTTTTCCTATTATAAACGATAAAAAAAATGAAAATAAAAAATAAATCTAATTCCATATCAGTAGTTGTAATAATTAATTATTAAATAATATATATAAATTAAGAAAATAAAGTTTCTAAAGTTACTTTAAAAAACTTATCTAATATACATCAAAATGACATAATTTTGAGTTGAAAATTAAAAAATTGAAATAATAAAAACTATTACAATTTTAGAATAAATTAAAATTACAAATATACTATAATTTCTGCTCCAAAATAATGTTATTTCGGTGAATATTAGACAGATTTTTCTAAAATAATTTTAGAAAAATCAAACCAATAAATTAATTTATCGATTTAAGGACGAAATATATTAAAAGACTTTTAGGGCCTATAATTATGGAATGACATAATTTTGTGTTAGGCCTTCGTGGAAAATTACTTGGCAGAGAATATACTAAAATAGCAAATATTTTTTATTTTATTTTAGTAAATTATATTTTTTTAAATATTTTTTTGTTCTAGCTCCATATTTCTTTAATATGAGACGCACCAGCATCAATCTTATGCAATAACTGTATTTAGGCCTACAACGTGCAAATTATATTATTTATAATGAAAGAAAATAATAAACCAAAGAATGCCAGTATTTTTTTGGCAAAAAAATATTTGTGTAAAAGAAATATGTAACCACGTAACTATATATTGAATAGACAGACAGAGTGTTGTCAATCTTGCTGTTTTTAATCACATGCCGCTATGGTGCAATGTTTTCAAATAAAAAATATTGTAAAAATTGGATTGCTTAAAATACAAAAAATTTACTATAAAATTAAAAAATATATAAATTTAATAGTTACAAATCATTTAGGTTAATATTTAAACAATTTGAAACAGATAAATTTATATTAAAATATAAATTTATTTCTCTCAATCATCTGAATTTGAATTCATCCGTTTAAAATATTAAAAAATATTAATTTACCTGATAATTAATAATTAATATTATGCATAGCGATAAGCCGTATGGAAAATAATCCTTTCATATTTAATTTTAACATGATAATGATAAATTTCAAACATTTAATAACAGATTAAGAGTAACAAATTTGATGACCAAATTTATAAAATAAAAATATTTAAATTAATTGCTAAGGCTTGATTCACTTGATAAGCAATTTGTTTTATTAGCATCTTGAAAAATTTAACTAGATGATTCAATGTTATTTTTTTTTTTGCATACTATGCATAACATCACTATTCAGACATTAGCCAATATTATTATGTATGTGCATACCACTCGACTACAACACCACACATATACCTATACTTATACCTTAGCGTCAGGCTACAATACGATCCTCTTACACATAAGAATGACAATATTCAACATGATCCATTGACACAATACAAACGCGACACAAAAAATTTGTGTTTGGATTAACCTGTTTTTAAATTAACTGTCTTGACTTCAAGTTGACAAAAATTTATCCGAAAAAATTCGTGTTATATTGCATATCAATATGTGAATTTGAAATTAATCCACATAAATTTTCTTATAGATTATTCGTGTTGGGGTGTATTCCTCCATTTAATATTTGGTGGGCTAGGCATGCACCACATTTATAGATGCTTAATTCAATGTCAGAACAATCACCTCAATGAAAATAGATGTTACCCACCTCATTATTGATAAAGATTCTAGAAAAAAAGTATAGAGATTCTCTTCAACTTTATAAACATAAGAAACATTTTTATAATAGGTTAGCCCAGAGTCTGCCAAGTGAGATCAGTAAAAATCTTTGAAGAGAAATTTGAGTGTGAGACTTCTTTAGAAACGTACTCTATAACCACCATTGTTAGTAAAGTTTGAGTGTACCTCTAGTGTGACTAGAGAAGTTTGAGTCTTTTGTAATCATATTATTCATAGTGAAAGATTTTTTGGACTAGGTCCCATGGTTTTTACTTCTCTTCATTAAAGAAGGTTTCCACATTGAAATTTATTGTGTTTTTCTCTCCATCTTTCATTTCTGCAATTTGGCCGACCTGGTGACCTCAAAGTATCGAGCTATGAGCTCGATCTGCCGACCTTAGAATCGCTTCTGCGATAATTGAGGGACCTCATCCCAACAATTCGTGTCGTGTCGTGCCGTAAACAAGTTATTCTTGTCTGATCGTGTCATGCCAACTTATATAACTCAATTAATAATTAACTTATACAGCCTCAAAATAAATAAAAATTAGAAGAAGAAAATTACCCTACTTTAAAACGATACCATTTTAAGGTAACAAAAAATAATTTAATATCACGTAAAGAGAAACACTTTACCTTAATTTTTTTTTTTTTTAATAATTTGACAATAAATGACTGACCAGAAATATAAGAAAATTTCTATCAAATTGTAATATTTAGTTAAACGAGTTATGATAAAAAAAAAAAAGATATGTTCAATTGATATTATTATTCATATTTTAAATTGGGTTATCATAATTGAGTTTGACTTTTAATGTATTGTAAACGTAAAAGTTTAAACATCTCGTTTAATTATATATTATTATATTATGAAAAAAAGTGTAAAATTTGAGAAAATAGTTGAAGTCAAATTTTTAATAATATGACAATAAATGATTGAGTAATAATATAAAAAAGTAAAGGATTTTTTCAGGAGATAAATTATCTTTAGTGAGTCCAAAACACTTCGTTTTGGAACAGAAATCAAGGTATTTTTACAATTCTAATATATTGTAAGTTATATTAGTCTTTAACTCTTTATCATTATAATTTTATAATTCAAAATAACGTCATTTTGAGTTAAAAAAGATAACTTTATTTCTAGTACCCGGAAAAATACTTTCACCTAAAAAAAACAGTGAAAATGCAATTCATAGTTAAACGAGTTATTAAAAGGGAAATTATGGCAATTAATAATAGTATTTATATTTTAAAAACAGTTTTCATAATTGAGTTTGACTTGTCTGTGTTGTAAAAGTAAAAGTTTTACATTATCATTCAATTATATGTTATTATATTATTAAAAGAATGTAATTTTCGAAGTAATAATTAAAGTAAAGTTTTTTTAATAACATGATAATAAATGATTGATTAATAATAGAAAAACATTCATTGTGAAATGCGATTAATAGTCAAAGGAGTTATGAAAAAAAATAAAATTATGTGGCAATTAGTATTAGTATTTATACTTTAAAAAGGGTTGTCATAATTGAGTTCGACTTTTATGTACTGTAAACATAGGAGTTTTAAAATGACCATTCAATTACATATATATTATTATATTATTAAAAGAATGTAAATTTCGAAGTAATGTAAAGTGAGGTTTTTTTAATTATATGATAATAAATGTTGACTAGGAATATAAGAAGGGATTAGTATTTTTCATGTTGTATCTCAAATACATATAAAAGTATATGAGAGTCATATAAAAAGAAGTGAGAGAAAAAAAAAGGTCTCACATGCTTTTATGTGTACGTAAGAAATAAAATTATCTCCTATAATATGAAAAATATTAATCCCAAAAAAATTTATGGTGAAAATGCAGTGAAAAGTTAAACAACTTATGAAGAAGAAAAAAGAAGGAATCTGTATTCTCTCGTGTTAAAAGAAAATGACATAGTCATATAGAAAATCATAATCATACAAAGATGGATTAACGGTAATAAAGGAAGAGAAAAAAATATATATTGAAATATGTAATTATAAAATTATAATTATTGATTTATCTTTATATAATTATAATTTTCTCACATAATCATATTATATTTATTTTTTAACATAAGAAGATCAGTTTAAAAAAGAAGTTATGTACAATTAATATTAGTATTAGGCTATTCCCATAAGCTGGGAAAATTAAGGCAAATGATTAATACGTTTTTAAATTATTTGATTTCCATGTTTTTTTATAATATTATTGATTTCCCACCCTACCTTACCATGCTGTACTGCAGTTACTCCATTTTGTTTAAGCCGCACACTAGTGGTGTCCGAGACCTGAGGCATTGGGAGGGTAAATCCATTATAAAAGGCAAACTAGAGAGAGAATGCAAGACATTGCCCACATAGAGAGCTCCTAAAAACCAAAATAAAAACATCCTCTCCCATTTCTCTCTTACCTCTTCCTTCATTTCCTCTCTCGTCTTTTTTCTCTTTATTTTTATCATTTGTTTTGTTTGTAATTGTTCCTTTAGTTGCGTTTTCACATTTTCCTCTGTTCTCTGCTTCTGCTTTTTGTCAATGTGTTGTTTTGCTTAGGACTTTTGCTTCTCTCTTCATTTGATTATAGAAGCAGAGCAGGATTTGACTTTTCATAAAGTGTTGTGGTTAAGTTCTGGTCTTCATTTCAGGGGAAGCTCATTTTGGTAGTTGGCCAGTGAAAAGCAAAAATAAAATAAAATAAAAAATTATGTATTTTGAGATCTAGCATGGTTTTTTTCTTTTGCTCTCTTAGCTTTCTTTTGTGGGTTTTTTTTTGAGCTAGAGTGACTGACATTCCAGCTCTGCTTCCATTGTATTACGTGACAAAGAAGCAAAATAACAATTACGAAAAAGAAAATATTCCTACTTCTTTACCAAAGTTGATTCATATTTAAACCCTTTTTCGATCTAATCGTGTTTGTCCTCTACGGTTCATAGCTTGGCCTCAGCTTCCTATTCCTCTCTTCTCTTTCTTCCTTTGTTTTTTTTTTTTGTTTGGCATCCAATTACACAGTAAAAACTATTCAAATGGATCGCCTTTCTTCAACTACTACTATCCCAGATGCATTTCAAGGGGCAAAAGATGACATTACCATGCAGCTTGCATTCATTTGGAGTCAAATCAAAGCACCATTGATTGTCCCATTGCTAAGAATAGCTGTAGTTCTGTGCTTAATCATGTCGGTGATGATGCTCATTGAGAGGGTTTACATGGGCGTTGTCATTACTCTTGTGAAGTTATTTGGCAGAAAGCCAGAGAAACGTTACAAATGGGAGCCAATGAAGGATGACATAGAGTTGGGGAACTCTTCTTACCCAATGGTTCTGGTTCAGGTCCCTATGTACAACGAAAGAGAGGTTCTTGCTTTTTTCCAATTCGCTTTTCTTTTTCAGGTCCCTAAGTACAACAATTTTTAATTTTTTTTTGAACTCTTAAGCCTTGATTTTGAGTTTCCCTTGCTTCTGAGTGCAGGTTTATCAGCTGTCAATTGGAGCTGCATGTGGGCTTTCTTGGCCTTCAGATAGGATCATCATACAAATTCTTGATGACTCCACTGACACAACAATCAAGGTAAGTACTAAAAGCCATCATGGCAAAATTAGAACAATCTATTGAATGGTGTTTGTTATCCTACGAACAAAGCCCGAATTGGACAAACATTGATGATGTGAATGATTTGTGGCAACTGAACAAAATTGCAGGAGTTGGTGCAGCTTGAATGTCAAAGATGGGCAAGCAAAGGTGTTAACATAAAGTATGAGGTCAGGGACAATAGGAATGGATACAAAGCAGGGGCTCTCAAAGAAGGCATGAAACATAGCTACGTGAAGCTATGCGATTACGTTGCTATCTTTGATGCTGATTTTCAGCCAGAGCCTGATTTCTTATGGCGCACTGTCCCATTCCTTGTGCACAATCCTGAACTCGCCCTTATTCAAGCTCGGTGGAAATTCGGTAATTTTCTCTCTCTTTTTAAGTCTCAACAACAACAACAACAACAACTCTTTCCTTAATTTAGATTTCGGGTTCTCTTAATGGCGGCTTTCTTCGGATTAATCGATGTGTCTTAGATTAGATAGTAAGTTCTAAGAACAGAGCTTTGCTTTAAAAAAATTGTCGGTGAGTCTTTTTGGTTTTGGAAATGTTCAGTTTGGTTGGGGTTGAGTAGGTCCCACTTTGTGGTTGAACGAGAACGACCGTGTAAACATCACACAGTCTACCACCTTTAGTCTGAAGCCACGTATTCCTCTCTCATCGTTCTTTCACTTCTTTGTGTCTATGGGACCCACTCTTTCTACTACCCTCCAAAATATTATTATGCACAGAATAAGTGTTACTTCCTTCCTTTGTTTTTGTTGGGTGCATTTCCTTTCTTTGGTTTCTTTTGTCCCATGCTCTAGAAAAAAAAAGTGGAAATGGCAGATTAGTAAATCACTTTAATATTTATGGGGGACAGTCTGTCATGAAAAGTCATCAACGAACTGATAAATGATCAACCATGATATAATAATAATGGTTTTGGCGTATGTTGTCATGTCATGGCTATTGATTTATTTACAGGGAACTATATTTTTCAGGTTGCTCAACACATAAAAAAAAATTAGATGGGATCCATTAAAAATAACAATAATAAAAATAATTTCATCTATATTTTATATGTATATATATATATATATATATAAAATAAAATTATCTCATGTAACAAATATATTTCCCTCCATTTATAGCACAATAGGGTTTGGTTGTGTCTTTGTGTGGCCGAAATGTCAGATTTACACTGCACGGCTGCTTAACGGATGATTAAATTTGGAGGTAAAGGCCTGCGAAGTGCGAACCGTATAATTAATAAATGGATCATTGTGGTTACTTTGAAAAGTATGCGTAAGATTAATAAGCAACTAAGAAGGTAAAAAATTAAGTTTATTTAAGCCGTTAGGATTCATCTAACAATAAATGATTTAAATCATTTTGCATGAAATTATAGATTCCATCTTGTATTTCAACAAACACATATTTAAGTCAGGAGCTCTGAGTACCATGCATGAAATTATAGATTACATCTTGTATTTCAAGATTTAGTATTTGACATCTCTTTAATTGTAGTTATATAGTTATACGAGTACCATGCTATTTTACAACATGCTATACATAATTTTCATGAGATAATGATTATAAAAACATGATTAAAGCATAAATTTAAAAGCAACCATGCATATGATTAATTGAAACAATTACAAAAAAAAAAAAAAAAAAAGCTTTCTTTTTCAAAGAAATTTTATTCTCAAGTATGTGATCATATAATAAAAGAAAAAAAATAAAATGAAGATGATAATGTTTTGGAAAATTGTGCTCTCTGGGTGACTTTCAAGAGTGCTGAAGACTAAATGGGAAGAACTGAAGGACCACACACCACTAACCCAAAGAATGGTTTTGAGCATGTGCACTACCAAATTTTTTCTGTAGATTCGGCGTTTTGCTTTTAGCTAGTAAATTGAAGATTTTGGGCGGGTCCAAACATTATTGTTGTTGATTTCTGCTACCGCATAGGAGGGCAGTACTTGAAAGCTGCGTGTGTATTTCAAAGGGTATTTCTGTCTTATGAGAACAACACCGTTGTTGCTATTACTGTGGTTGTTGATGTTATCATTGTTCTTATTGTGCTTCTCCAACTTCTTTTTTTCCTCTATTTCTCTTCTGCTGCCTAAGGCAGTTGCATGTGCAAATTTAATGGTGGACCTTATTTCCTAGTCATTGTCTATCTCTACTAACCGACAGCTGAATTTATTTTCAACTCTCTTATTCTGCGAAATCAATTTAATTACATGATGACATTGCAAATTTAATGCCAGCTAGGGTGTTGAAGAGGCAATGATTTATTTATTTATTTTATTGTAATTTCAGTGAATGCCGATGAATGTTTGATGACCAGAATGCAAGAGATGTCACTGGATTACCATTTTACTGTGGAACAAGAAGTGGGGTCTTCCATGTACGCCTTCTTTGGTTTCAATGGTAATAAAATGATGGCAAATATTTTCACCTTCTACAATAAATAGTTGAAATAAATTCTGTCCATTTTCCTTTTAAGAAAAAAAAAAAAAAAAAAAGATTTTATGTGCAATAGTGTAAGCTAGCTCATGTTTTCTTGTGGGATGAAGATTTAGCTGATTTTTTGCACTCTTGTAAAATGATATAGGGACTGCGGGAGTATGGAGAATTGCGGCGCTGGATGAGGCTGGTGGGTGGAAGGATAGGACCACAGTTGAAGATATGGACCTAGCTGTCCGAGCCAGTCTCAAAGGATGGAAATTCTTATATTTATCCAACTTGAAGGTTCGCTTTCTTCTGAACTCAGCTATTATATATATTTCAATCCAAGTCAAAATGCTCATTCATTTACATGTTACCAATATTTTCATGTTAGTGAGAATTCTTGTTCAAACCAATGTGTTATCAATTTAAACCACTATGACTGGAGTTATTTATTTGACTAAAGGTTAAAAATGAATTGCCAAGTACTTTCAAGGCATACCGCTATCAACAGCACCGTTGGTCTTGTGGTCCAGCCAATCTTTTCAGGAAAATGGTCATGGAGATTATGAGAAACAAGGTAAGGATGCTTCCTTGAATGATCAGCAATACACAGGACAAAATATATTTGTTACTTACGCTCCAAATTCACATATGTGTCCACTGCAGAAAGTTTCATTGTGGAAGAAGATCCATGTGATTTACAGCTTCTTCTTTGTTCGGAAGGTCGTAGCACACATCAATACGTTTGTGTTTTATTGCATTATATTACCTGCAACTGTTTTGGTGCCTGAGGTTGCGGTCCCAAAGTGGGGAGCTGTCTATATTCCTTCTGTCATTACCATTCTTAATGCAGTTGGAACTCCAAGGTCTTGATCTTTCTCAAGTTTTCCTCTATAATCAAATCACATAAGCCAAAGTTGAGTTTAAAGACAAGGAACTTGTTTTACAAGTAAAACTTTGTTGAATGTTGTGTTTTCTCTGTTTCAGGTCACTCCATTTAATAGTATTCTGGATTCTCTTTGAGAATGGCATGTCTCTTCATCGAACAAAGGCCGCGATTATTGGTCTTCTTGAGGCTAGGAGGGTTAATGAATGGATTGTCACTGAAAAACTTGGAGATGCTCTCAAGGCTAAAGCTGGAGGCAAAGCACCCAAGAAGCCTCGATTCAGAATTGGAGACAGGTATAAAATGGGTATTCTTGGCTCAGTAATTTGATAGCATTACACTGATTTCTGAATAGTACATATTATATTATGACATTGGTCTGCTTGTGCTTACCTACCTACATTTGTGGTCTTGGTGTTCAAAATATGACTAGGATTCACTTGTTGGAACTTGGTGTCGGATTCTACCTATTCTTTTGTGGCTGCTACGATGTTATGTTCGGGAAAAACCATTTCTTCATCTACCTCTTTGTCCAAGCCTTAGCTTTCTTCATCATGGCATTTGGATACGTTGGCACCTTTGTTCCCAATTCCTAGAAGGACTTGGCAATTTCAGTTTCTGTGCCTTCAATATCAACGCGTTGTAGTAATATATGGTGTTTTCAGCATAGTTCTGGCAAATTACAGCTTCTTAGTATAAAACAAAACAAGTGGTGGTCATTCTTTAAGGTTTTTGCATAATCAGAGTCAGTGACAGTGACTCTAAAGAGTTAGTTTTCTTGTGAATATTCAGCAGGCAATTACGGAAGTTCTTCTTATGGAAGAGAAGTATACAGAATCGATCATCAGGGGAGCAAACATCTTTGATTGGATGTATTGTTTATAAGATTTTCTAGCTTTTTTTTTTCTCTTTTTAATTTTTTGAAAATGTTCTTCTGCTTTTCTTTTACATTATATTTGTTTGAAGAAATAAGCAGCTTCAAGAAATGGGATAAAATACACAAAGTTCCGTTTTGCATCTCCTTTTGTGTGTTCCCCCTCTATTTTAGTCAAATTTTACATAATTCGAATTGCAAGACACAGATTCTCTAATAGAAACAACCACCTTGTGAATGTTACACCGAAGAACGTGAATAGTTTTATTGGCTTGATTTATTTGATGAAAGAATTGATGGGAGACTCAGAGACTGAAGATTGGGTTACTTGTTCGCTCTAATCTCCAACCTTGTTGTATTCGCAAGAATACTGAGGAAAAAAAAAAAATTATTATTAGACAAGATTTCTATTTTCTAGTTAAAGGTTCTTGTAATTTCCTTTTATTTGCTTTCACTAAAGCCTAATTCCATATGGCACTAGACAGGAATTTATTTTAGGAATAGAAACATATACTAAATATGACAAGTGCTATTCGTTCATCACATTATAACATTTTTTACATCTCTCCCTCTGATTTTATTTCTAACTTTGAAAAAAACAAGAAATGGTAAGGAGAATTTCCCTTTTTTTCAAAGGAAAAATTATAAAGGAGAAAACGTATAAATGAATTATGAGTTGTATGAATAAGGGAAAAGATAAAAGATTTCAACAAGGACTTCTCAAAGCATGGCTTTTATTTTATTTTATTTTATTTTTATATTTATCGAATAAGGGGGAAAATAAAGATTCTAAACATATTTTTTTAAGGGGCAAGATATACTTATCACAAAAAATGTTTACCATCTTTACAATCAATCTAATCACCGTTAATTTTCATCAATCTAACGGTTATAATTTATTAATAATTGATAATTAATTAATAAGTACAACTCATAATTTTCAATAAGTAGAATTAATAATTAATTAATAAGTAAAACTTATAATCTAGATAAGTAGAATAACTTATCCCAATATAAATATTATAATAAATATATAATTATGACATAGTGGCAAGATTGTCACTCATGTTCATAGTTCATGAGTCACAAAGTGATTTCAGAATATCTCATGATGATTCTAATATTTCAATTATACTAACTTTCACAATTTAACAGAATAATTCAGCACGTGCCAATCATGAGTCAGACAGTACAGTGATTTAATCCAATTACCATTGGATTAACATTTTCTCTCTCTTCAAAAACTTTTTAACATTCTCTCTCTTTGATCCAATGGTGATTTGATAGGTAGTAAGGTGGTAGTTAACACTTTTGGTAGTCAAAATATCCCCCTCTTAATGTAATCCAACAATCTTATGACCGGAAGGTCCGTGTAGACTGTGTACAAAATAATAAAGGCTGGATATACTCAAAAAACAAAAAAGAATGGACGAAAAGGAATCATTTCGTGTGTTATTTAATATGACCATGTCATATAAGAAAATATTAATTGTTAATAATCAAATTGATAGTGATAATTTTATATTCTTATATTTTTTCTATCTCTTCGTTTATCACTATTAATCTATCATTATATGATTAAGATTTTCTCATATGATATAATGACATTAGTTAACACAAAAATAACAGCTATTTACATTCGGCTCAATAAAAAAAAATAGCTGAGAAATATCCACGATTTTATAACCGGAAGAAGATACAAATTGTGCCATGGAAAGAGTTGCTATTGGCTCCAAAACACCGACACGCTAAATTTTTCAAAATGTGTGTATCGGACACGTGTCCGATATGAACACGCTTTGACACGCGTTTAACACACAGTCAATATTTTGGGACACGTGGTCAACGCTTCGACACGCAGTCAATTTTTTTCGACACGCGGTCAACACTTCGACACGTATCCGATATGTTTTTTTTTTACTTCTTAATTTTATTTTTTAAACTAAAAATAAAAAAAAATTATAAATCAATTTTTTTCCGTTATGAAATTTACGTGAAAAATTAAAAAAGGTCCGAAAAATTATTTTTGTTTATATTTATGTTATGAAATTTGAATATTTGATTGTTTATATATTTTATTATAGACAGTTATATATATTAAATATAAATTATATTATATATATTAAAAATATTATTTAATATCAAAACGTGTACCATGTCGAAATATGACATTTTTTAGAATTAACGTATCGGCGTGTGATGTTGTGTCCCGTGTCAGTGTCGGTGTAGGTGCATCATAGGCTATTGGTAGGTGGTTGGTACTAACATTAATAGAAAAAAAAAACATTATGCCAAAAAAAAAATATATTAAAATAAAAATTAAAAACAAAAATACAGAAATAAATTGGGCCGAATGGAGCAGCCCGTCAACAATATTAACAATATTTGGGAGTGAGTATCGATGAGCAGAAAATTTGAATTACAGAACACAAGAGGTTTTTCCACCGCATACAACATACAAGGTGGCAATGGGATTGGGGAGGCGTTCTGCTCTTCATCTTCATCTTCATCTTCTTCCTAATTCACACCTCAACAACTCCGTTTCCTTCTTCTGCTCCCAATCACCCACACTCTCTGAACCCCACCCCCAAGATCACCAACGCCTTCAAAAGGTTCAAAAGCTTCAGTCTTTACTAGACCAGGGTCGCATAACTGCTGCTCGAAGGTTCCTCAAGTCCCTTTTTCTCTCCGGCAAACAATTCTCTTCTCCCTCCCAACTTCACGCATTCGTCTCCAAACCCCTCTTTTCAGACACCCTCTTATGGCTTTGCTCAGTTTCCAAAATGCTCAATGAAGCTTCCGAGTTGTACTCTTCCATGAGAAAAGATGGCTTTCTCCCTTCCACTCGTTCCGTCAACCGTTTGCTCCGAACTCTGGTAGCTTCCGAACAGTTCGAGAAAACTCTCACTCTGTTCGCTGACTTTGTGGAATTTGGTTTTCGACCCGATGTTGTCTCATACGGAAAAGCTGTTGAGGCGGCGGTGATGTTGAATGACCTCCATAAGAGTTTTGAGTTGATGAGTTCCATGGAAAGGGAAGGGGTTTTCCCCTCTGTTTTTGTGTATAACTTGGTATTGGGTGGGACGTGTAAAGTGAAGAGGATCAGGGATGCTCAGAACTTGTTTGATGAAATGATTAAGAGGAACCTGGTTCCCAATACGGTTACTTATAATACACTCATTGATGGGTACTGTAAGGTGGGTAAAATAGAGGAAGCTTTTAGCTTGAAGGAGCGGATGAAAGCTGAAAATGTGGAGCCTAATCTTGTGACGTACAATTGTTTGTTGAGTGGTCTTTGTGGTTCTGGGAGGATGGAAGATGCGAGGAAGGTTTTGCTAGAGATGGAGGGGAATGGTATTTTGCCTGGTGGATTTTCGTGTGTTGTATTTGATGATCATTCAGTGGGTGCAAATGCAAATGATAACGGTTGGTTAGATGGAAAAGGAGCAAGGATCGAAGAACGTACTTATTGTATTATGTTGAATGGACTATGCAGAGTAGGAAGGATTGAAAAGGCCGAGCAGGTTTTGGCCAAACTAGTGGATAATGGAGTTAGTCCAAGCAAGATTTCATATAACATACTGGTGAACGCATATTGCCAAGAGGGTGACATGAGGAAAGCTATACTTACAACTGAACAAATGCAAGAACGAGGATTGAAGCCTAGCTATGTCACTTTCAATACCCTGATTAACAAGTTCTGCGAAACTAGGGAGGTGGACCGGGCAGAGAGATGGGTTAAGAGGATGATCGAGAAGGGTGTTTCCCCCACCCTGGAGACTTATAACAGTTTGATTAATGGTTATGGCCTGATGCGCCATTTTGTTAGATGTTTCGAGATTCTTGAGGAAATGGAAAAGATAGGGATTAAGCCTAATGTCATCAGCTATGGTTCTCTAATAAATTGCCTATGCAAAGATCGTAAGCTTCTCGATGCTGAGATTGTACTTGCGGATATGATAGGTCGTGGGGTTTCTCCAAATGTAGAAATATATAATATGCTCATTGAAGCTAGTTGCTCCTCTAGTAAATTGAAAGATGCCTTCAGATTTTTTGATGAAATGATAAAAAATGGAATAGATCCAACTCTTGTGACCTACAATACGCTGATAAATGGACTCGGAAGAAATGGAAGGGTAACGGAAGCTGAGGATTTGTTTCTCCAAATGACTAGCAAGGGATATAATCCAGATGTAATAACGTACAATTCCCTGATCTCAGGCTATGCCAATTCAGTAAACACTCAGAAATGCCTTGAATTATATGATAATATGCAGACATTGGGCATAAAACCTACAATTGGGACATTTCATCCTTTGATCAATGCATGCAGGAAGGAAGGTGCGGTGACAATGGAGAAAATGTTTCAAGAAATGTTACAAATGGATTTGGTTCCAGATCGAGTTGTATATAATGAAATGATTTACTCTTATGCTGAAGATGGAAATGTTGTGAAGGCAATGTCTTTGCACCAACAGATGGTTGATCAGGGAGTTGATTCCGACAAGGTGACTTACAACTGCTTGATTCTAGCATGCCTTAGAGATAGAAGAGTTTCAGAAATAAAGTATCTTGTTGATGATATGAAGGCTAAAGGACTGGTTCCAAAAATTGATACTTATAACATTCTGATTAAGGGACATTGCGACTTAAAAGATTTCAATGGTGCGTATTTTTGGTATAGAGATATGTTTCACCGGGGTTTGCTTTTAAATGCCAGCATCTGCTATCAGCTGATATCCGGACTTAGAGAGGAGGAAATGCTGCAAGAGGCCCATATTGTATCCTCAGAATTGACTAGTAGAGGACTGAACAACTAGAAGACTGCCAAGGTAAACCCTTGCCCGAAATGTTCAATGAATATGATTGTTAAAGAAAGATAAGTACCTAATTTCATAGGGCCTAAAGTATATGTGTGTTGTACATTATCAATCATTACTTTTTGCTGATATTACATCTAAAAAGGGGGCTTGTTACCTTTGGAGGCGAAATCAGATACCCAGTGCAGAGAAGTTGAATAAACACAAGCTCAAAATGGTAAGGCTATTCTCAATCCTAATTGTTTTTTCACAATTCTTTTTAGTTATTGATAATTTTAATCTCTAAAAGCACGCCTAAATTGTTCTGTTTACACTGTATACAAGGCAATATATATATACATATATGTGTTCTCTCGATTGTTTATGTTCATTCCTAATTGATTTTATTAGATTAACACTCCTGATTAATTTGGGAGCCTCGTGACTGCCTTTTTTCAACGTTTTTTTTTCTAAAACATGTTATTCTCAGAGTAATTATACAAAGTACAAACACACCGAAAGCTTGGTATTGCTTTTTTCTTTTATTTAATTTAGTGTTTGCTGATTACAAGCATAAAATTATAATCATGTGTTTAGTAAAACATTTCATTGATGATATGAAGATTAAAGGGCTAGATCCAAAAAGTCATACGCACATACATGCTTGTTGAAGTACATTGTAACTTCAAGATTTCAATGGAGCGTAATTTTTGGTACAGGGAAAGGTATGAGAGAGGTTTCTGCCATATGCTGAACGGGAAGGTTACAGGATTCTCAATTTGTCTCCTCAAAATGTAGACTGAAGGTGGTGGAAAAAGAAAGGCTGAACCAGTGGACATTTTTAATCATAATTCATTGCTGATTTATGTGGAAACGAGCTTATTAAAGTTGGAGAGGTACGTTAAATAATCAATTTTGACGTTAAGATTTGGGAGTAATTTTTTCTGCTCTCAACTTCAAAGAAATATCGTAGGTCTTCATCATTAGAATAAAGGATCGTGCATCTCTTAGGCGAGTGTTATTGTTGATGGTTGTTTTTGTGAGGCTGAAATTCCACCTGAATTTGCGAAAAGGGAACAAATGGTAATAAATTTTCAGCTCAAACACTGGCATGGTGTCGCAATCTTGCCCGAATATGACAAGGATCAAAGGAAAGTGCTAGAAAGGTTTCAGCAACAAAGAGAATAATTCCAGACCTGTATTTTACATATCCTTACTTCTTTTGCATAGTGAAACGGCGTACAATTTTGTGGTGATTACTATATTAACTTCAGAACTAAGGTTGATATTCGAACTGCTCAACAAATTTAGCAGAGTTTGGTAGACTTGACTGACTCATAGAAACAGGTTGAGTGTGTCAAAGTAGAGTTTTAACCGGTAAGATAAAAAAGTTGTGTGTCGATTTTTGCGGGAGGTTAGGTTGTCTTGTAAACATCATTAGGTTATCTTGTACACATTGGAATGGGACAAATCTTGGAGTCCATTTTGTTCACTCCATCAATTTATACACATTAGCATATAGTTTTAAATAAATATAAGAGGAAGGATATTGTAAAAACTAATTAGTGTTACTACTACTCAATTTTATCGTTAGATCGATTATGTTGATCCAACGGTTATATTTATTTCCGTCTTTGTATGGTTATGATTCTCCATATTTAATACTTTATATTTATTTTTACCTTGTATGGTTATGATTTCTCATATTTAATGTTTTCACATTAAATATGAGGAATCATAACCATACAAAGATGAAAATAAATATAATCGTTAGATCCACATAGTCGATTTAATAGTGAAATTGATTGGTAATAATATTAGTAGTATCACTAATTGGTTATAACAATATCTTACCCCTAAATATAAATATCGTTCACTTGATCGCATATTTATAATTGTTAAGCGTTAACATGATAGTTAAGTATGGTTCATTATTTAACTTCATTAAAATTATTTTTTAGAATAAATGTTTAAATAGTGTAATAAATCGATAAGAAAGCAATGTAAAGAAGAATAATAAATTCTAAAATCAGTTACAAATTTTTTGAAAATTAGTCTACCCTACCCACTAAACTTCGATATCATCACCATTTTAAGTTCTGTATCTAATTTAAATTTGATCGAAGCATCTTGAAAATAACCAAGCATTTCGTGACGACAATGCATCCCAGTTTTCCGCATTGTGAATTCAACAGAGAAAGTGAAGTTTTGTCTACATTATCGGCTTTATGTTTCCGAATTATCGACAAGGGAACTAAGCTACCATCAATAATTGTCATACCATCAATACACAACCCTAAGCTTAGAAGAGATCACCAGTGTCAATCCTGAGTCATCTAACTGTTTGCAGTCCTAAAAAAACGCTTCACTAAAGTTCTTATTTACCCGTTCTTTAAAATATGATCAATTTGCTCAAGGTGCCACCTTCCAGAACCAAGAGTAAGGCAGTGCCCGTGGTGATATTTCAGATTATATTTTCTCAGAGTTCAACGGAATCCAGGGAATTGTTCGCTAATAATTCGAGGATGAAGAAACGTGGACGTGAAGAGAGTACTGGACAGTGGACACGTGTGTTTGGTACAAGTATTTCAAAAGGATTACTGGTAAACTTTCTTTGGTAAACGCAATTACCATGTTTGATAGAAGGATCAAAAATCAATTCCTGAATATCCAAAGATTACTGGTAATTTGATTTATAAAGAAAAGTCACTATTCAAATTATCAAAAATAATATGGTAATTCCGAATACCAAAGAAAGAGAAAACACAATAATAATTTTTGAGACCAAAATACCCTAACACACATAAAAACAACCTAGACCCAATCTATCAATTACAAAAGTAAAAATAGTTTGGAGTTATTTTTGTATATTTCGTGTAATCTTTACCCAATATTTCTGTTAATATTTTGGTGAACCAAACTCTTCTTTCTTAAGATTCCAAATAAAGTCAATTTCTATTGTGTAGAAAACAGGACCTGAAAACTTATGATGGGGAAGGGCATAAGTTCAAAATTGAATAATGAAAACACCAGGGTCATGGTTATATACTTCATAACTAGCAAAGATTACCAATTACTGAAGTTTCATGCCACATAATAGAGAAGAGCAACCAGTTACATCAGTGCATAAGAATTATAATTATGCAGCCTCACTAGATATAAAATAACGCTCAAATTATCAACATGCTATTCCATCAACCACTCAGCAATGTATGCAGACTAGGGTAGCTCAGCACAGTTCCATTAACCCCCAACTCAAAAAAAAAGTTTATACCTTTTTTAACTAAGAAAATAAAATATAAATCACCATGCAAACAAATCACCACATTTTTTCACCAGCACAAAGATATTATTGGCACAGATAACACCACCATAAGGCTCCATCAACATTATTAAGTAAGCCAAAGCTTCCTAAACCGATTTAAAAAAAGGAGTAAGTGGAGTTTGGAGAAAAAGTAATGGTGAGAGAGAGGAAGAAGAAGAAATACAACAACAAATCAGAGAACTTTGAGGAGATCATCAGCACCGCTGAAGGTGAAGGCACCACCTTCCTCCAAATTGAAGAGCTTCACAACTCCATCCTCAGCCAAGAGCGCGTAACGCCTCGACCTAACACCCAACCCAACAGGCTTATCACTCAAATCAAGCTCGCACCCAATGGCTCTGGTGAACGTGCCATTGCCGTCAGACAACAATAGCACCTCGTCGTTCACCTTCAGGTCCTCCTTCCATGCCTTCATCACGAACGCGTCGTTCACCGAAATGCACGCGATTGTGTCCACCCCTTTCGCCTTCAGCTCCGCTGACTTCGAAACGAACCCAGGCACGTGCTTCTGCGAGCACGTGGGGGTGAACGCGCCAGGAACAGCGAACAATATCGCCTTCTTTCCCTTGGTCAGCTCCGACACGGTGGTCGTCTGCACCTCGCCGGCGGAGTCCAAGTAGGAGAAGGTGGATTCCGGAAGCTTGTCGCCGACGCCGATTGTGGCGGAGATGGTGGAGGAGGAGGAGGATGATGATGAGAATCTGAGCGGTTTGGGGTGACGGCGGTTGTTTATGAAGGTTAGGGAGAATTTCGATGAGAGGGTTTTCGGTTGTAAGAGAGATGCGGTGACGGCCGTGGAAGAGAGAGAGTGGGTGAGCCTCGACAAGGTCAGAGAAGCGGCCATTGCAAATTTGGGCGAAGAAATCGAGAGAGAGAGTGAGTGAATGAAATGGTGAGTGAAGAGAGAGAGAGAGAGGCTTCACTCGCTTCAGCCCAAAACTAGGTTAGGTTACTTAGGTGCTTGATTTTTTGCCCAACATTTCATTTAATTTACTTAAAAAAAGATAATATTTTTATTTGGTAAATCCAGAATTTATATTAAAAATTACATTTTCAAATCGAAAGTAAGACGACAAAAAGATAGGGGTTGATATTTTTATAATCATATTCGTTGTACATCGTCGAGGACCCAGGCTTTGGGAAGATTCTTAAGCATATATAGGAGTATCCGTCTCTTTTTGTAATCTTCTTTTTCGGTTATGATATATGGCATTTGATTTTTCTTCTGTATTTTTATCTGAGCATCCTATCAATTTGTGGTCCATCAACCAATGTGCCAAAACCGTAACACCGCCAGCTTTACTGTGCATGAGATACAAAGTTGTGGCCCAATCTAAATCTGTTCCATCTATCCACAGTAAGCTGAGAATAAGAGAAAAATCACACGAAATGAGAGAAGCCAATAATAAAAAAAAAAAAAAAACTAATCTTATGTTAAACAAAATCAGGATTCAATTTTATTTTTTTATTTTTTTATTATTTTTAGGACTCATCTTGATTTTGTTTCCCTAATTACACGATGCTAGTAGTGAAGTTTGATGGTTGGTGTTGTTATTTGTCCCTGCGCTTTGCTTAAACCTTGTTTGCTTTTTGAATGCTTTCTTTTTGTATTTCATGCACCTAGCATCACCAAAGCACGGACACGCTTCATTTTCAAAATTTTGCGTCGTCTGAGGTCAATATTTGAGGACACGCGGTTAACTCTCCGACACGTAGTCAACTTTTTTCGACACGCGGTCAACTCGGACACGTTTTTTTTTTAAATTTTATTTTATTTTGTTAACTAAATATAAAAGAAAAAATTTATAAATTAATTTTTTTATGTTATGAAATTTAACATGAAAAATTAACAAAATACAAAAAATTATTTATATTTATATTTATATTATGAAATTTAAATATTTGATTGGTTATATGACTTATTATGGACTCTTATATGTATTAAATATAAATTATATTATATATATTAAAAAAATTATTTAATATCAAAACGTGTCCCAACGTGTCGAAATATGACATTTTTTAGAATTAACGTGTCGGCGTATCGTGTCGTGTCCCGTGTCCCGTGTTTGTGCATCATAGGCTAGCATTTCTTTTTTTTCTTTTTTTTTAGTATTTATGAGGGGCTCAAGCCCAAAAAACAGAACAAAGCTACATATCAGTAGTCTTCTTCTCTACTAAAGGTCCCAAACCAAGGGGAACACTACGAAAGACCACAAAGTTTTATAAAAGTTAAACGTGGACTTAGCAATCCAGTCTGCACAAGAATTCCCCTCTCCTCGAACATGAAGCAACACAATGTGCCAATCTTTCTCCAGCCAGCTCTAAATAGAATTGTTTAAGGAAAAGCATGCATTGTCGTCTCTCCTGGTAATAAGCGCCTGGATAGCCTGAAGAGAGTCACCATCTACAATGAGGTTCTGGGCTTTCATTTTCCAGGCAAATTGAAGCCCCTTGAGAATCCCCCAGAGCTCTGCTGTCAACGGGTCACAGCTGCCAATGTTGTACATGAACCCAGAAATCCATCTACCTTGATCATTCCTAATGAGGCCCCCACATGAAGCTTGGCAGGGATTTTTCTTCATAGCAGCATCTACATTCAGCTTCCACCAGCTAGTTGGGGGAGGCTTCCACTTCACTAGGTGCCTCTCCAAAGGGGCTGATCTGCAAGAGCCGTTCTTGTCAGCAGCATCCCTTATTTCCATGATGTGATTCATGATGAAAATAAGAGGGTTGGCAGGTCTGACAAAGTGAGCTTCATAAATCTCTTTGTTTCTCCAGTTCCATAAGAACCAAGAGGTAATAGTGAAGATGTCTTGCCAATCAAGGGGCTACGCATGAGGCCACCCTTTAGTCACGTTCTTGCGGATCCACTATTCCTGGTGCATATACAAAAAGTCGTTGGAAATATTACCTGAGAACCAGAATTTCCAAACAGGGATCACTTTTTTACAGTCACGCAAAACATGCATAATGTCTTCTACTTTATCCAGACACGTATGGTAGAAGGGGGACCCTCCCTAGTTAGTTGTGACGTCTCTGGTAAGAATTTGACCATGAAAAGTAAGCCAGATGAAATGGCGAAGACGTTGTGGGCCTTGCCATTTCCAAATAGATCCTCAAATATGATCACTGGTAATAGATTCAAATCACATGATGGTGTTGTAAGCATGTTTAACAATGCTCTTGGTCTTCGAATTGCTCCTCTACACTAATTGATCTGCTTCCCCATCTGCTAAAGGAGGAATGAATGATCTTATTTGATTAACCATTTCCTATGAAGCATTCTTTGAAGGAATTCCAGGTGCCAGCCACCAATGTCCAAGTACACTAAGTCAACAACTTTTGCCTCCAAACTCGTAGAGGGGAGATTGGATAAGCAGTACTCACTGATGGGATATTCGAGTTGCGTCCACCGATCCGTCCAGAAATTGATATCTTCTCCATTATTCACTTTCCACTTCAAACACTCCCGCAAAACATCCCAGATATGGCATAAGCCTTTCCACAAATGAGAGTCATAGGGTTGGCATGATGTACAACGTCTGACGTCTAGCTTCCTTTCATACTCACCCAACAGCACAGAACCCCGAGAGCATGTTTATTGTTCAAGATCTGCCAAGCCACTTTAAACAGGAAAGCTTCATTATGGGCCTTTAGGTTATGGATGCCTAGACCTCCAACCAACACGGGTTTGCACAAGTTACTCCAAGCAACCAGATGGACCTTTTTCTTATCGGCACAATCACCCCAAATGAAGACTCTTTGAAGCAAGTTAGGGATGGATTTTGTAAGACCCCCTTTTTTATTTAAAAAAAGGAAAAAAAAAGATAGACAATATGATGTGTTAACTACTCCCACCATTTCATCTTCACACCACATTTCCCTTCATCGTCAAACCTCCTATTCTTTTTCCACAAGGAAAAGCTTGAATTACTCCATTTCTTTACCACCCCAACCTAAAGCTTCGTTGATAGCTCCATCCTCTAACCAAAATTTTCACTAATCATTATGAGTTCTTCCATGCATGTTAAATGTAACACCTCGTGTATACCCGGTTTGTTATCATGTCATCGTACTAAGCCACACTTAATTAAAAATGAGGAATAAACTTTTTCTTTTCAATTATGACGTCATTAACAATTACCAAGTTGATTACTTAACCTTTTAAAACATTGCATGTATGTAATTGCGAATAAACAGCTATCTACATTGAATAACCTCAAAATATAAATATGTGAGTATCTAAGTCACGGAACTACAACATGTAGTTCGGACCATAATCCTGATACAATTATACAACTCAATACTAAAACAATACAGAGTCAGTCATTCTAGCATGGACAACCCCCATGCTCACCAAATAAGGCAACAAGCCCAACCGAGTATCAACAATAACAACATAATCATAAAGATAGAACATGTCAGCATCCAAGAATAAAAATATAATCAGCAATATCTAACTCAGTTCCGGCCTCCTGCCGCCCGAGGTCTCAACCCCCGAGTTACCTGAACCTGAAATATGTGTCCCAAACGTGGGGTGAGATCTCTAAACAGCAATCTCAGTAAGGCAAGGGGTCCTCAAGGATTTCTCCACCACAAGCTCACTTACATGTGCAATATAAGTTCTAAAAGTAATATACAATATCAGTTCCAAAATAAGTGCAATGCAATAGATAATCATGTCATGTGTGTCAAGATTTTCTACTGGCCAGAGAAATACGGGATTTATATACATCTATTACCCACCTTTAGTGCAAGATGCCACTTGCACCCACCCACAGAATCACCGTATCATATGATGCCACGTACTCAGGCTTACCGTCTAGATGGAACAACACATGCATATTATAAGGCCCTTGCACATAACAACTCAACAGCATTTCAAAATCAATACATGAAAACACATCATGCATATAAACCATTCCCCCATGGAGTATGGTGGAACCAACAATGGCTAAACCGAGAACACGAAAGCTTACCTCGCAAGCTAACTATCCAAGACAAGCTCACACTAGCTCAATGCCCATTAACAGCACAATCATAATTTGTTTATGCAATAATTAATCATCAATAATCATTGCTCAAGATTCCATTAAGTGATTAAGGCTTTCCAACTCATTTTAAGTCATTTCATGCAATTTCTGCATGAGGTATTTGAATACTCCTCGATGAGTATTCGAATATTCCATGCCTCCAGAAAGTATCCGAATACTTTCACTCAAGTATTCAAATACCAAAAGGTATCCGAATACTTTTCCCCCAGTATTTGTATACCACCAGGTATCCGAATACAAAAATCACAGTATTCCCCAGTATTCGAATATTTATTCAACGGTATCCAAATATTTTTCTTCCCAGAAAAGTATCCCAATACTCCTGCAAGAGGTATTCGACTACCACATGACAAGTATTCGAATACTACACGAAAAGTATTCGAATACTCATCAGACGGAATGCAAAAACTCGAACTTCCCTCTGCAAAATCCCATTTTTAAGGGTCCAAACGTGATTTGGAGTCCAATGACTCCATAAACAGATGTTCATTAACATGTTATAGACTCAGAATCTCAGTCATTAGCTCAAATGATCAAAGTTACACTTTTTAATGGATTAAACAAGCTTAAATCATGAAAATGACAAAGAGGTGGTCATGGTATACCTCAAGAGTCTCCAACTCAGAAAAAGACTCCTCCTTGGAGCTTCCAACAAAGCTCAAAAGTTCTGGCTTAGAAGAACCACGAATTCACACCAAAAGCTTAGACCTTCACCATCAAAATGGCTTCTTGGAACCTCAAGTGTTAAAAACAAGGTTCCCTCCCCACAAAACAGTGAGCTCAGCCTTCCCACACTCAACCTAGAGGCTGCAACGACTCAAAACAGGATGGATCTCAACCTCACAAGGTTTACTCTCAATATCTATGGTGATTCAACGAAGAGACTAGGAAGAGAATGGCCACTTGGCTCTTAAGGTGAAG